CAAAGTCCCCTGGGAAAAAGCTATCTATCCTCCCAACAACTCTGCCCTTTCCACCCGCTTCCGCATTACCACCTGTAACTGGACAGCATCACTGATTCCTGCCTTACAGACGCAAACTTGCGACAGGCTGCCGAGCAGCAACTCACACAAGCCGCTGAGACCAACTTTGTACGTCATTCCCCTCACGCTTTTCTGCCTCTCATGACCCCCTCTTCTACACCCCCCCAAACTTGCTTTCCTCCCGCTGGATTGACCGACGAGCCACTGCTAACCATCTTGCGCATGACAGCCGTTGTATCTTGCCACCCTAGTTCAAGAGCTCGCCAACGAGAACACACAAGGCTCCATCCGAGCAGCCGCTGGTCTCGCCCTAAAGAACGCTTTCACCGCCAGAGATTTTGCCAGACACCAAGACCTACAGACAAAATGGCTGCAGGGCACAGACGAAGAGACCAAAACACAGGTCAAGAACCTGACCCTGCAAACACTAGCCTCGTCCAACGCGCAGGCCGGTCAGGCTGCTGCTCAGGTCATCTCTTCTATTGCTGCCATTGAGCTGCCCCGCAACCAGTGGCAGGATTTGCTGAACATCCTGGTCAAGAATGTTAGCGAAGGAAACGATCACCAGAAGCAGACGTCTCTGACTACGATCGGTTACATCTGCGAGAGCCAGGACCCCGATCTGAGGACTGCCTTGATTGGCCACTCCAACGCCATCTTGACGGCAGTTGTACAGGGTGCCCGCAAGGAAGAGGCCAACCTTGAGATCCGCCTTGCCGCCATCACTGCTCTTGGCGACTCCCTCGAGTTCGTTGCCAACAACTTCAAGCATGAGGGCGAGCGCAATTACATTATGCAGGTTGTCTGCGAGGCCACACAGGCCGAGGACACGCGGATTCAGCAGGGTGCCTTTGGGTGCCTCAACCGTATCATGGCCCTCTACTACGATAACATGCGCTTCTACATGGAGAAGGCCCTGTTTGGTCTGACCATTCTCGGCATGAAGAACGAGGATGAGGACGTCGCCAAGCTTGCTGTCGAGTTCTGGAGCACGGTTTGCGAGGAGGAAACTGCCATTGAAGATGACAACTTGCAGGTGGGTATCTGGCCCGGCCATCATCCCCATCATTTGACCTGGCTTGTGCTGACTGTTGTGTGACTTCAGGTTGAGAGCTCCGACCAAATGCGCCCCTTTTACAACTTCGCTCGCGTCGCTGCCAACGAGGTCGTTCCTGTCTTGCTTCAGCTTCTGACCAAGCAGGACGAGGATGCTGGCGATGACGAGTACAACCTTGCCCGTGCTGCCTACCAGTGCCTGGCTCTATACGCTCAAGCCGTTGGTGGCGCCATCATCCAGCCTGTTCTCCAGTTCGTCGAGGCCAACTTGAGGCACGAGGACTGGCACCACCGTGATGCTGCCGTCTCTGCCTTCGGCGCTATTATGGAGGGTCCGGACGAGAAGACTCTGGATCCCATAGTCAAGCAGGCATTGCCGATCATGATCAGCATGATGGACGACAGTTCACCCCAGGTCAAGGACTCAACGGCGTACGCACTTGGTCGCATCACGGAGAGTATCTCTGATGCCATCGATCCGGCCACCCACCTTGACCCTCTCGTCCGCTCTCTGTTTGCTGGTCTCATGAGCAACGCGAAGATCGCCTCGTCGTGCTGTTGGGCACTCATGAACCTCGCAGAGCGCTTCTCTGGTGACTACGGTGCGGAGCAGAACGCCATGACCCCTCACTTTAACACCAGCGTCACCAACCTCTTGGCTCTCACTGCCCGTCAGGACGTGGACTCCTACGTCCGCGTCGCTGCCTACGAAGTCCTCAACACCTTTGTGCAGCAGTCAGCTACCGAGAGCCTGGCTCCTATCGCCTCTCTCTCTGGCGTGATTCTCGAGCGTCTTGAGGGCTCAATCCCCATGCAATCCCAGGTTGTCAGTGTCGAGGACAAGATCATGCTCGAGGAGATGCAGACGAGTCTTTGCACAGTGCTCCAGGCCATCATCATCAAGCTTGACAAGGAGATCATTCCCCAGGGCGACCGTATCATGGGCGCTCTGCTCCAGATTCTCAACTCTGTCGGTGCCAGGTCCAGTGTCCCCGACTCTGCCTTCGCTGCCATCAGCGCTCTTGCCAACGCCATGGAGGAGGACTTCAACAAGTACATGGAGGCTTTTACCCCGTTCCTTTACAACGCTCTGGCGAACCAGGATGAACCCAGTCTCTGCTCCATGGCTATTGGTCTTGTCAGCGACTTGACCCGGTCCCTGGGTGAGCGCAGCCAGCCGTACTGCGATAACTTCATGAACCACCTCTTGAACAACTTGAAGGTCAGCTGATCCGTTTCTTCGTTCGTCTTCCCCACATGCTAATGTCATTCCCAGAGCACTACTCTCTCCAACCAATTTAAGCCTGCTATTCTGCAGTGCTTTGGTGATATCGCCGGCGCCATTGGGGGCCACTTTGAGACGTACCTGGCCGTCATTGCTCAGGTTCTCCAGCAGGCTGCCACGGTCAACGCCACCGCCGACGGCCCCTACGAGATGTACGACTATGTTGTGTCCCTCCGCGAAGGCATCATGGACGCTTGGGGCGGTATCATTGGTGCCATGAAGTCCAGCGGCAAGAGTAAGTTGCGCTCCGTAATATTGCTGCCCATCAATGCTAACTTGCGCAGCTGCTGTCCTGCAGGAGCAGGTGCCGCACATCTTTCAGCTTCTCAGCCAGATTGCTAGCGACATGAACCGTAGCGAGGCTCTCATGCGGGCATCCATGGGTGTCATTGGGTATGTCGCTTTGTTCGCCATCGCTTTTCCCCACACTAACTTGTAATCAGTGATCTCGCCGATGCTTATCCCAACGGGGAGCTCGTTGACGTCTTCCGCCAGGACTGGTTGACTACTCTCATCAAGGAGACCAAGACCAACCGCGAGTTCCAGCCCCGGACAATCGACACTGCCCGCTGGGCTCGCGAGCAGGTCAAGCGTCAGCTCGGCGGTGCGTCCAGCATCATGGCCCAGGCCTAGAGCGTCCCTGTTGGCCAGCAAGACCATATGCGCTGGTGTGACTTGCATCGACTTGTCACATAGCTCCATGCCTGAAGCAGCTGGCCCACTCTTTGTTGGCCCATGGACCTGCATTTCCACCAGGAGTGAGAGCTGCAACTTCCCTTCCCCCCTTATCATGACACTTCACAACACACTCGGACAGCAAGGCGTACACGAATTGTGTATATAGACCTGACGCAGACCGCCCCTAGTACTCCCCCCCAAAACCCCAACCCCCAACCCCAATACCCACTACATCCCGAACACAACCCCCTTGCCTTCTCATCAAAAACATTACACCCATTGCCCACCCCCATCCCACAGCACTTGCTTGGCTGTATTTTTCTTGCGTTGCTTTACACGGCGGATGCCAGGCATAGAGAGGACCTCACCCCCTCATTTTTCATGTACGCCACGCTCGCAACAGCGTTGGCGAACCAAAATTCATGTAGACGGAGTTTTCACCCACGGACGGATTTGAATCACTTCGTGGAGTTACAACGGACAGGGAAGGAGCACGCGGGGATGGTATCGAGGTTCCGGTACGAGACACGGCAACGGGACACACGCATACACACGCAGCGAGCTATGAACGCATGCCCTGGGGCCGACCGCATCCCCGTTTCTTGATCTACGCTCAAGTGAGCGGATCTTTAGGTTGGTCAGGAGATCGGGTGGACTCTGTTGTTTCAAAGGGGTCTAGGTCGGGACAAGGGGATATGCGTGATAAGGCTGAGCGCGGCACAGTCGATTGGAACGAGTGGATGATGAATGGCATGACTCAGCTTCGGGCCGCCGGGGCGAGACGAACTACTAGGAGCGTGTAGGGGTAAGACTGTCTGGTGCGAGGAGGAGATCACTGCACAGCGAGAGTGCGAGAGACGGAGAAGAGAGCAGGCAGAGGAAGGCAGGCGGAGAGCAGTGCAGCGCAATCGATGGTGGGCCAGACGCGGTGAACCTTGGGTCAAGTGATCCCATGAGCTGTAGTCGAAGCTGCCGAACCTGAATTGATGAAGTTCCCCCGCCCTTTCTCTCCCTGACACGGCTGGCCTTTGCATTGTGATCCACCTGTTCTGATGTTGATTTCGCCCTGCCCAAGTACGCGACGCGACAAAGCTCACAAACTCCAAGGCGCAAGAGGCAGGCCAAGGTTCGCGCTTAAAATAAAACTCTTGGGCACGGTTTATTGGCCAAGAATTGGACAGGAGGCGACCTCTGGCTACAAAGCTAACACACTGTGGAAAGGGACCGGACAGGCAAAAAAGACAAGGCTAAGCAGAAGAACATGAAAGAAAAAAGAATCCCTGTCGCAGGCCCAATCGCCTCGAGCTCGTGATTTTATCCGTTGCCCCCGTCCTTCGTGTTTCGACAACCTCAAGCTCAGGCGCTGTTCCATGTTGCTTTCCCGCCGCGCCGCGCCATGCCGATTGCATCCTGAACGCCGGGTTTCCTTTGCCATACTTCCTTGGTTGCGACCCACTGGTGCGTATCATGATGTGAAAAGAAAACGAGACGATTGTCATCGACCACTTCCGCCAACTCAGTAGTAACCCATACCCATCCCTGCGCCATTGCCAACCCAGCCACCTGCCTGGGCAGACTCGTCGAACCAGCTTTGCAGCTCACCCTCATATCCGTCGTTTCCCGGGCCCAGAGCAGTCGGGGTTGGGGGCGTGAACAGCTGGGGCTGCATTGGCGGCACGACGTCGAACGAGGCTTGTGGCGGTAGGGACTGAACCTGTGGGAACCCGGCAATGACGTGCTGCTGCTGTGTTTGCTGCACATTCGGCGGCGGGTCAAATGCGGCCTGAGGCAAGACTCCCATTGGATTGTGCGATTGGGGATACGGGTCCTGCTGCTGTGCGTACGCAGCGTACCCTTGGCTGGCCTGTTGATGCCCGGGGGCTACAAACGGCGCCGCTTGATGCTGGTACTGTTGCTGTTGATGGTGAGCCTGGTGCGGATTTTGTTGTAGAGGTTGCTGTTGTTGCTGTTGCTGTGCACCGAATGAAGAGGCTGGTGAAAGCTGTGACGGCGTGAAAGTTGCATGTTGTTGCGGTGGAACAGGAGACTGCCCCGGTCCCATACTTTGCTTGTGGCCCAGATGTTGTGCAGGCTGTGGGAGGATTTGGTGCTGCGGCCGCAGGTGATGTCCTGGCACTGGTAGTTGGTGTTGATCCTCTGGCGACCTCATAGAGGGTGGAAATCTCGGCACTGGTGCTGTCGTTGGCGAGGCATTGGTCGATGACATGACGCTTTTTGAATTTAAATCCTCGCTCGGTGACATTGGGCCAGGCAACGGTGAAGCTGGGACAACATTCTTCCCTTGGTTCGAGGCCATGCCTGTCAGAGACGGCGAGTATCCGCTCTGCAAAGGCCGTAATATTCGATCATTCTGTAGACCGTCGTTATTGTGTCAGCGAATTCCTCACGGAACGGAGGCATTGGAATGATTAGGACCAGACGTACACCATCGGCCATGCCGCCATCCATGCTCACAGTTGCGGCCTTGGGATCTCGCGAAAATCTTTCCAGCGATTCGAGCCAACGGGAGGCAAGAGGCCAGACTTGTTTTGACTCCATGAGAAGGCTCATACACCGCAGAAGCATGGTACGACCTTGTTTTACAATTGTCCTATCAGAACAAACTATTGCCAACGTCAGGACGATCCTTAGGTTAGTGATATGGCGGGGCCAAAGATGGCTTACTATTCTTGTATTTGCATAAATAGGTCGAAAACAGACCACAGCTGTAGACGCAGAAGGACTAAGTCAATGTCAGCTCAATGTCAAGTCCTTGATCGCAAGCGCAGAGGGCAACATACAGCCATCTGGGCACCAACGCTTTCATCGGAGCCTCGCACGGAGAATTGGTTGTCTATTTGCTCGAACAAGTCACGAACATTGCGAAACAGTTCGTCGGACAAGTGGGAGAAGAAAACACGGTGAGCCTGGCTCTTGGGCTCGGGGTGTATGATGCTAATCGAGTCAGATGAACCCCATATTTTCGAACGGCAGATCAGAAGTTCGGAACCTACTTATCGAGGTATGGTCTTCTAAGAACCACATTGCAGAGTTTTGTAACCATCGTCACGCTCATGTACGCCTAGTGTATGCTGTCAGCTGCCAGGATGGTATGCTACGACGGCGGCTTCACTTACAAGATCCTCGCCCACGGATTTGTGCCCTTTCAGCAGAACCATACTCCACTTGTGGTCTGGTGGTAGCTGCTGTTCCCAGCTTGCCAAGCTCGCTGCCATCTTGGAATATTCACTTGTGGGATCCCAAGGCGAAGAGCTCTTTGTAGAAACCATCGCTCTGCGGGCTACCTTACCCCAGTAGTAGTGGGCTTGAATGAGACTCGCAAACAGCGATCGAGTAGGCTGATGGATGAGAGATGGGTTCTCGCGTGCAGGTGGGGTATCTTCGAGGGCAGCGCGAGAATTGGGCTCATTGCCGTTCGCAAAGTCATTCTCGTCACTGGGTAGAAGACAAGTAATGTCGCTGGCGGCCAACGAGATAGGGGACTTCGCGCCGCAGTGGAGGTTGTCCTGACCTACGCATATGTCAGAAGGCATGATCAAGTGTTGTGCAAGGTGTGCTAAGACTCACTATGGAGCATCCACTATTTGACTGTTAGTCAGATCAAGAAATGGTAGGTAGGGAAGTCTTACCAAAGTACGCCTGGCGGACTCGGCCTTGATAACCAGTTCTTTCGTCGGTACCTTGATAACATAGGTCTCCTCGCGGTGAAGATGCATGAGGACGGCCATCCTCGTGGCAATCCCGAGGTTGATCTATATCACATTAGGGACTGCGCTTCCATACCCGATGATTGGGATGTCACTCACATAGCTTCGGTTTCGCCAGCCACTTCCTTGTTGAGCGATGCTCAGAAGATAGAACGCCTGGCACCGCTCAAGCGTTGGCTCCTGGTACAGTTCATTCAGTGCCAAGGTACTGGCCCTTTCCATGAAAAAGTCGGCCGCCTTGATCTCGCCCTGATAACGTCGCGTCAGGGGGAGGGAGAAGCGTGCTGAGATACTGAGGATGCTAAGGAGCAGAAAGACGCTGACGGACCGGTGATCGCGTTGAAGCCGGGCGGGGAACAACTGCTTAGGAATGAAGCCTAATTGGAAATACTTTCGAGTGAAGAGGTGAACCGCCTCTACAATTTCGGGGAGCGGTGGCATAAGATCCCATTCATCAGCGTGCTTGGGTCGATCCGCAGGCGCCACGCTGAGAGGAAACACGGGGACATCGAGGACTTCGCGACGTGTCTTGATTAAGTCACGCTTGCTAGCCTTTTCAGCTCTCATGCGTGGATGGCGATAGTCACGGTCATCGTCAGGCTGCCCTCGAACAGGGAAAATGCTGAGTGGCCAAGAAATGTCAATACCTCCGGGCTTCCCACGCAATGAAGCTTCGTATTCAAGGTGAGAACTGCATACCAATCGGAGGCCCCTAAGCCAGCCTCTTTGCAGGCATTACAAGGTGGTGATGCCTTCTCGTGAATGCATTTGCTTCTCATGCGGCGACATCTAAGCAGAGCATGTTATCAGTATGGCTGAGCGGAGACAGGGCTGCGGCGTGGTGCCACAGCTCAAGCTCAGCTTGCGTCGTGGGTCGACAGCGCCGGCTGCTAGAGCGTGAGAGGGAATGGACAAACCTTCGGCAGGCAATCGGGGCCCTACGTTTGACGGGAGCTTTTGCAGCCGATGCACTGCTGTCTGTACCATGCTTCAGAGAATCGTCGACGCTGCCGTTTCGCTCGCCTTTGAAGCTGTCGCTACAGCCGCCAGAGCTCAGGTTGCGATTGAGCGCGGTCAGGTTGGGCTTGGCGTCCTCGTCGAGCTCCATATCCGCAATGACCTGCGACCGCGACCGCGACCGCGACACTCCGGCCAGTAGGTGTGGATCAGGACCAGCAAGAGGGTTGGCGAAAAGACGGCAAGAGCATGTGCGGGGTGCCCGAGTCGGTTGGATTCTGCTAGGTGCTGGGTTCTCAGAATGGGCTCAGATCGTGAGGAGAAGCAAGGCGTGCAATCTGGGTCATCAAAGTGGGTGGCGACAGTGTCATTGGACGATCCGCGATGGGTGCTTGCTGAGCACTGAGCGCGTTAGGTATGGGGGCTGGCCGCCGGTTGGGGTGTCAGAATGGAGATGACTTTACTCGCTTGTTCGGTATAAAATTGCTGATGTGTCTGGCTGGTGGATTGACGTGCGGTCAATGACGAGATCCAAGTGGCCAAGCGCACGAGGCGCGGCTACCAATGACCCCTAGCAAGCCCGCAAATGATGGGTTTAGTTGCCTACCTGGGCAAGTCCACTAGTCGACACGAATTACCGCTGGTCCAGCAGCTGAGCTGCTAAAAGGCTTGCTGTGACTGCTATGGCGTAGACGCAGATTTAGGTTCCTTTGCGGGAGGCGGTGGGTGCCATGGGGATCGGCGGTCGCGCCGGCTCGGTCGCGGGCCTTTGCGGGCACCTCAGGGCTGGCGATGGCTTGTTGTGGGGTTATCTTGAACTGCCCTGCGTTGGTGAGCGACGGCTGGTCCTAGCGAAATCGATCACGACGTGATAGCAGCTTCTGACGTAGGCTCGATCTACTTTGCGGCAGATGGATATGAGCATGGTTTCGAGCAGGCTTCGCGGAGCAAGTCACACAGTTGCAAGGGGGTCAGCCCTTACGCTTCGCACGTCTTGTGCGGGTTGACGATCGGCACTCAGTCTTCCACTCTGAGCCACTGGCTTGCACAAATGGTACTACCCATACTGCCAGGCCACTTGTCCAACAATCACCAGCCCTGCCAGTTGGCGAGTCGTCAATTCGCCAGTGTGCCAAGCCTGCCAGCAAGCCAAGACGGAGGATGGGTAATCTTTGACCCATATCGCCACCTCAAACCGAGGGTCGCCAAGGAGAGGTCGCTCTGAGCACGGTGCATGTTAGGGTCTGTTCGTGACGAACACTCTGGTGATATCTGCCACCACAGGCTTCCCAACGTGAGCCAGACGCCCGAGGCTGATGCGAGAGCGATTCGAGGGAGGTCAACAACGAGTCATGAGACAACGGGCCCAGAACCTCGAGTAAATTGCCCAGCTCTTATCGTCCAAGACGGAGACAGCTGGATGGACATCCGGTGGGCCAGAAGCGCCGTGCACTGCATTGGTGGGTTCGAGATTTGCGATGCTAGTCAGGTTCTGCAGCCCTTCCAGGCTCAAGCTCCGGAACGTGTGCCAGCTGCCTTGTAGGCATATGTGTCTAGGGCGGTCGAAGATCTCAGGCAAGGTAGATCAGACAATCATTTGTCTGACGGATGCTGAGACTAGGCTTGGAGTGTACAGGCCGTAGGCTGTCGAATGTGCATGCATCATGGGCCACGACTCGCGCGCCATGGTGTATTGCAGGAGGGGAAACGGTGGGAAATCAGAAGAGGGCGTTTCCACGTGGCAGCTGTCGGTGTGATGGGGGCCGATCGACTCTTCTGTCGCAAGGCCACACTAGACGAGGACGCGAGAACCTACCTAGCTACCAGGAGGCGCTGGCGCCAGGCGGGCCATCGAACTGGCGTCTTTACAGCCCTCCAACGCGATGGTACTCGGGGCTTGGGGGCCTAAGTGCTTGGTCAACGAAGGGCTAGGATCTACTACAAACCAGCCTGAATCAATGATTCAGTCGATGCTGCCCCAACCCTTACTCGTAGTTCGGACCTTTCTCCGACCCTGCCGTCGGCCAATGAAGCGGGATTTCCTTTCTCTGCGACAAGCGAAAAAAAAAAAAACTTGACCATCATGGCCAGCAGCGGTGACTTTATCCTTATTGGTTGGAGGGCTTGACAAGCAAGTGAAGTCTTGCATTGCGCAAGACCACAAATGGTCCGTAGCCGTTGGCTAGGTGGGCTGAAGCGCTCCATCTTGGTCTCGATGGCGTGGACAGGGAAGGGAGAAGTGGATGGCCAGATTTGTCCGTCTCCGAGGCCCAGCTGTGGCTTTTGACACGAGGGTCAAGGCGTCTGACGAGGGATGGACTCGAAGGCTTCAGCTTGGCCCGCTCTGGTGTCGTGAGCGGCGGGTTCGGCTGCCAAAAGGGAAAGGGGGGGGTCGGGCGGCGGTCTCTAGTCGTGAAGAGTCAGAGAGAGAGGGGTTCAGAATGGGGACCGATTCTTCCACAGGCGACTCAGGTGGGACATGGAAGGAACAGATTTGGACGATCTCAGAAATGGCGACGCCTGCATGAAGACGTAAACTGGGGGAAGGAAGCAGCCACCCTGCAAACCAGCTGGCAATAATGCATGGGACATGGAGGGATGCGACGTCCCATCGGGTCGGGAACCCAAAGATGGGCGAAGGAGAGCAGGGGCTGGGGCATGGCTTCCCCCGAGCCTGGAGGATACATCTGGAAAGGCATACCGGGTAGGTGTCAGACTCGTACCCAGGTAGGTAGGTACCAGGTATCCTGACTTGGTTGCCGCTGAGCTTGTAGCTAGGACGCAGCAAGACCAGAAGTAAAGGTGGTAGGAAGGTAGCTAAGTACCTGCCTTGGCTGGAGGTAGGTACCTTGGTTGGTAGGTAGGTACGTCGTAGGTGGTAGCAAGTGCGAAGGAGAATGACACGGGACGGGACAACGAGGAGAAGCAGGACCTGACTCTCTCACAACCAGCGGTCTCGCCTTGACAGAGGATCCAAACCAGCAAAACACCGCATCGCACTACCTGAGCCGCGCCGCACCGCACACAGAAGTGTCCCCGGTGACGGCGCGCGCACGTTGGCGGGTCTCACCCACACACACTCACACACGCAGATGTGAGATGATGGATCTTGAACGGTCTAAAGCTGCCGCTCAGGAGTCGCAAGCGGGTCTGACGGCGTCCAGTATCGTGTCATGGGTTGTACACTTGTCTAGGAGCCCAGCTTACCTTACCCTACCTCACCATGGAAGTTTGCAGATGACTTACTCAGGTACACGCGAGCCCTGACTCCCCCCTCCACTGATTACTTTTTATGTAGGCACGTCCGAGGACCTCGTCCTAGTACAGAGGCGCCCACACTCATGGTTCTAGGGTGTATTCAGCTATTCATTCCTTTTCGTTTTGGACCCTCTCGCTACTCGGAGCCTACTTGAGGGGCGGATGCCTGTACTGCTTTTATTGCCATCTTGGCCAAGACGCCTCCGCGCTGAAGTGGACATTTCGTCCCGCACGAGTAGGTGCCACTTGGATCAGCCTGCGGGATGATGTGGGAGCAATTGGGATCGAGACTCTGAGCCGTTCCCATTGCTCCAGCGTCGTGAGGCCCAGGTGTTCCTGGTTCTTCTTGTCCTGCGACCTTATCCTTGGACAAAGTCCTGCCTTTGGCCGGGGTTCTCCAAGACCACGTTCATCTATGAACTGCCAGACCAGTCGACATGACGGTGGCGCAAGTTTTGGCATATATCCATATCCTACGACTTCGTGCTCTTCTCTCCTCCTCGCTCTCCTTGGTTCGACTTAGATCTCTTTGGTAGGGAAGCATGACTCTTGCCAGCTATCCGCAGGCCGCGCTTGCGGTGGCCTTGGGCATGGCTTTGATATGGCTTGTACGATACTCCCATGCATTCTCGCGGTATAAGTACCCTCTCCCTCCTGGACCCCCTGGCAGGTTTTTGGTTGGCAACCTAGGCCATGTCAGCATCGACAGCCCTGAGAAGGATTACCTCCGATGGGGCCAGGCCTACGGTCAGTACAACAAGCACCCAATACGATACGCAATATGCGTCAACTTTGGTAGTTTCGAGGCTTACACATCCGGCCAGATTGCGATGTCATTCATACCGAAGTCCTCGGCCAACACATGATCTGTCTGAACAGTCGCCAGGCTGCTGAAGACTTACTTGAACGCCGGGGCTCCAACTACTGCGACAGACCGAGATTTACTCTTTTCGAGATGTACGACCACACCCGCGCATATTGAACAGCCCCCCTGTAAGCGCTCAGTACGCTGACAAGAGTCTTCAGAATGGGATGGGGCCTCACCCTTACATTCCTCCGCTACGGGCCTCGCTTTAGCCTTCATCGGCGCCTCTTCCAAACGACCTTCTCACGCACAAACGTCAGGAAATTCGAGTTAATCCAGCAGCATGAAGCACGCAAAACAGTTCGAAATTTACTCCAGGACCCCGCGGACTGGAAAGACATCACGCTGCTTATGGCAACAAGCATCATATTCCGGATCGCCTTCGGTCAGGAGGTCGTAGATAAGAACTCTCCATATTGCGCCATGTCCCAGGCCGCGAACTATGCCACGACAGCGGGTGGAACTCCTGGTTCAACACTGGTCGATCTCTTTCCACCTGCAAAATACCTCCCGGACTGCCTCAACCTCTCAGAGCCTCTGGCTCACGCGCGACGCAGTCAGAAAACAATACGCACTATCCATGAAGAGCCTTGGGCCGCAAGCTTGAAGGACATTGACGCAGGTATCGCGTCTTCTTCATTTATGAAGACATATTTGGAGAAATATCGAGTCATCGAGAAGTCTGGCAAGTCCCAGGAATTGACCATTCCCGATATCAAAGGCGCGGCGGGCGCCATATTTATTGCCGGCGGCAACACAACCTGGAGCACCCTGCAAGCCTGTGTTCTCTTCCTGACAAAGTACCCCAATGTCCAGCGGCGCATTCAAGAGGAGCTAGATGAAGTTGTCGGACCAGATCGCTTGCCAACCTTTGATGATCGCCCCCGCCTCCAATACCTGGATCGTTTCATCAAGGAGGTTCTTCGATGCCTCCCATTAAACCCTTTGGTCATACCACACAGAAGTCTTGCGGAGGATGTCTACAATGGCATGCGCATACCCAAAGGTTCCATCGTTTTTGCGAATGCCTCTGCCATGGCTTCTGACCCAACAGTGTATGATCGACCTGCCCTCTTTGAACCGGACCGCTACCTTCGCGGTGAGCCAGAGTCTCCGGGCAATTTCGGCTTCGGCCGGCGGAAATGTCCGGGAAATCACCTTGCACTTGCTTCTGTTCAGATCTTTGTTGCGACGCTCATGTCAGCGTTCCACATTGACAAGGCTATCGATGACAATGGTCAAGTCTTGGAGCCCAGGGTTGGTATCTCTATTGGATTAGGCGGGTATGTTCATGCCTCGAATTGGATTTTGGTTCCCCCTCATAGCCACATGACATGTAATGATCGACCAAGACTGACACAATTGGGTAGGCATCCGCTGCCATTCGAGTGCGTTTTCACGCCAAGGCACGGTGTTGAGGCTGCTAGCCTGCTTGAACGAGAGCCATGAGATAATGTTGTTATGACACAATCATGTTACACGACGCATCATTACGGAGTCTATCATTAGGGGTAAAGCATCTCATACACCTAGACCAGTTCTTCTTCTTTCTTCATCCATCAGTTCACATACCTGCATACTTGTTTTCTTGCCCTCAGCATAGTATCAATGGTACTTCCTGGCACTCCTCGCAGAAATTTCACGACATATCGTGGGATGCATTATGTTGTGCTAATGCAACCATGCCCGAAGGGATGGATGGTGTGCTTGTTCAAGGTTGACGATTGGGCTAACCGCGGCTCTCACACACACATCAGAACGGCAAAGAGAACAGCTTTTTGAAAGCCTTGTTCGCGGAAGGTCAGCCGCCAACCCATTTGAAGCAGTTCGAAACTGTGTTGTGCTCTGCACAAGTCAAATAAGGAGTACAGGCCCCACGACAGCAACCCTGATGATACTGACCCTAGTTACGTACCAAACGCCATGCATGGTGTGGCCCTTGGCATTCTCACAACACTGACAACCAGATTCGTCTAGGAGATAAGGCGTTCTGATCAGCTATTCGCTCTAGTCTAGTGCGTCGTGCAAAATAGCCGACGAAGCAGGGATATTAACTTGGACGATGTCCGGGCCACTAGCAGGGAAGACTACGTAACGTGCTCTCTCATGGGTCAGTTATACCCATCAACCCTATACGAAATGACCTCGAATTACGGGATCAGAGTGGAGGTGGGGAATACGTGCTGCAAACAAACCAGACGGCCGGTCGGTCTGGCCTGGTTTCCCGGTGAGGGGCATTTCGAATGTCCAGGCCTTGGCGATATGTTCGACGGCCTGGCGATTTGACCCAGTATTCGACAGAGTGAGTGACCTGCCTGAAATGATGGCCGGGTGAATCGAGCACAACCCCCTATAGAGCAACTTTATCGTTTTCTCGCAGCAGTGACGCGCAGACAGGGAACCCGTCATGTCAGGCGGATGAATGGTCCTTGCGGTAGAGATGATGAAAGACAAGTATTCAAGCCAAGTGGTACGCTCGAAGACGGTGGTAGGTTAGCAGGCGGAAGGCAGAGATGTGTGATGCAGGAGCCGGCATCAAGGGCCTGAACTTGTCGCCAAGTGATCGTGGACGATATGGAGATACAACTGATGGTTGGGCGAGCATGGATGGGCCCTGCTACGAGGCAATGCGAGGCTCTTTCACCATGATTACACGTAGATGGTCACTACCACCAGTCGTTGACGGTGGTGTTGAGTTAAGTGGAAGGCGGATCGGTGTTGGGAAGTTGCCAAAGCCATGGAAGTGGGCATGACGGGTTCTTCGGTCAGGGAAAAAGGGATCCAGAGTCCTGTCAGGCCACCCATCTCCTGCTGTGCAGGCGGTGCTTATAGTGCTAGGACCAAGGGTACAGGGCGCCACCTGACGTGAAGCGATGCTGTTAGTGGCAGTGTCTACCAATGAATCGACGCGCCGGCACATGTTCGACAGGGGTCAGAGGGGGCGAGGGGGCAAAGGGTGGGGGGAACGGATCTTCTGATTTCTCAGCGGCGCCAACGACCGGAGTGCCGGTCTTACCTTCAGGGCGCTGACCACAGCTGCCAGCACATGCCAGAGTCCCACCTTGCCAGCTCAAAGAGGGTTGGACCCATCGGACAAAACCCACCAAAACCCACCATTTCACTGCTGTCGGGGTCCGTCGTAGGCACCGACTGCCCTGGATGCCAACCGAAGCCAACCTCGACGGTCATTTCTTTCCCATCAAATGGTCTTCAGCCGCCAGAAGAAAACCCAAGCAGAACATGTAGGACGTCTAGATGCTCAAGATGCAAGATGACATTCGAATGCTCCGTCTGCGGAAAGGAGTATCAGAGGAACACCCACCTCCGGCGTCATGAGTCCACCCGTGAGTCCACCATTTTGCTGATAGCCTCTTGTACCCAGATCTCAATGATGAGCCCCTCTCTCACCTCACATGCACCCCCGCAAACTCTGGACAGCTAGGACAGAAAGCCTGACTTTGAGTAGATGCCGAGAATGGCCGCTTCAGCTGCCCGTATTGTACCAAAGCTTTTGCTCGTCGGTCAGTGAAACCATTTGCCTTTCGTCACTTCAGCCCTTGAATCCCCTCACCTGTCCCCTCATTTTTCCTCGTACATGACCCTCTCCTCCTGCCCTCCCACTCGGCCAGCACGCACCCACTCACCGTGCCATAGCGACGTGTGCCGGAAGCATGCCACCTCTTGCCTGACCAAGGGCAACAATCGTGGTCGCCCTTCTCATGAAGTCCAGACCATCAAGCGTGGCCAAAAGCCTCGCGCCTGTGATGCATGCGCACACAGCAAGCTGGCCTGCGACCTCGCCGAGCCATGCGGCCGTTGTGTGTCTCGCCACTCCATCTGCTCCTACAACAAGGTGCAGCGGGACCCCTCGAATGCCTCAGGGATGGACCCTTTGAGGATTCGCAAACCATATACCCGTGACGCCCGGGCTCGACTATCCATACCCTTCCTGCTCAGCATGACAGATCCAAAAGCCGAAACCATGATCAAGTCTTTCTTCTGTGAGCCCATGAGAGAGGCCGAAATAGGAGGCACAGAGTTTGACCCGGAGCGGGAATTCTTCCCGTGGAACATAACCGACATTCTCATGGGCGATGTCGAGGATGAGCTCGACCTGTACGACTTGTTCAACCAGGTGCCCGATATTGATCACTCATCGCCGGCGCTCGATGCGCGATTGGCCTTCATCGTTGCCGAGCTCGGCGCTGTCCACGCTCGACTCTCGGCGATGGATGCTTCCTACAGCGAGACGTTCAGCATCGACTCCGCCAAGCAGGTTTTCACCGCTCGCAACGCCAAGCTCTTCGTGTCGACCTTTTTCCGATACACGCAGCCCGACTTCCCCGTAGCGCACGTGGCCTCCTTCAGCTACGAGGAATCATCCCTGGAGCTCCTCCTTGCCCTCATACTCATGGGCTCGATGCGCGCTGTGCCGCGGGACGACGCCCTCTCGACGCACACCTTCTTTCGCGTCGGCGAGGAGTACATTTTCCAGCGTCTCCGTGAGGTCGTGGCTCTCGAGCCGCGCCAGAAATTGCCATCAAAACGTGTGATCGAGGTGCTTCTCGCCGCCCTCAACATACATAGCATGCGCGCCCTCGTCAACGATAAGAAGGTGCGCCGCAGAACACGCACAGAGAACCTGCCGGTCATCGTGGCGACCATCCGGTCGCTTGGCTTGCTGCAGATGAAGCACGACAATCTTCCCGAGGACACCCCGTGGGACGATTTCATACGCGTAGAAACGTGTATTCGGTAAGGGCTATCTTTGGATGCGTGGGACTTCTTGGCGGATGCGGTCCAACCCGTGCTAACCCGTTAATAGGCTGGCCGCCTGGGCCGCTTTGATCGACTGGTCGCAGTGCGGGACGTTCAACTCGCCGCCCATCATAGCGAGCGCCGAGATGACGGGCGACTTCCCCTGCTCCGAAGAACTGTGGAGTGCTGCGGACGCTACGGAGTTTAGACTCATGGCTTCGAGGGAGGCCGAGGCATCGCGGTCACGCACATCTCTCAGTCATTGCTTGGCCGTTCTCATGCAGGACGGCTGGCTCGGCGCCAGCCACTTTCCGCTGGAGCCAGTCACTCTGATGAATCTCTACTTTCTCATCGGTGGTATGTGATGTCCTGTTTCCCCTGCTCTTCGAGCCTCCGTGATCGCCGCTTCACCACCCGAATCTAACACAAATACACGTAACGCAGGACTAAGCGCATCTATTGTCTCGGCGCGCCTCATGTCCACTCTCTCGGCAAGCGCTCCCGTCATCCTGTCCGCTATAGAGCGGTGGCAGGAGCTCTGGGACCGTGAGACGATGCGATTGGGACCTGAAAAAGTGCGCGCGAGTGGTCTTTTCCGGCATTCGGGCGGCGTCGCGTGGCTCGTCCGGCGGTCCGTCGAGGTGTCGATCGGGAACGGAAAGCAGTGCGCTTACACCAAAGGTGTCGACCACGACAGCCTGAAGGAGCTGCATGATTTCCTTCAAATGTGTCGGGATACCTGAGGATATATCACTGGATGGGCGGTTCCTGTTTGCGTGGGATGTCAAATGGCGTTTGTCTTGTGCTTCTCATTAGCACTGGGGGTGTTGGGCTCCGTCGACTTGTGTCAAAGCGTCTGTTCTGTCCGATAATTTGCTAGTCAGCCCTTGGTGTGCGAGATTTGACCCTGACCCTGAAGTTGCTTGGCTTGAGGAAAAAGTAGTTTGTCGTGGACCACCACTCCTTGCTCGGACTGTTGATGTCGCTAAAATCAAAGTCGCGTACGATGCGGGGGATGAGTTTGGCCATTTGGAGGTGGGCGATGTGGCGGCCTATGCATGTCCGGGCGCCGGCGCCAAACTAGAGGCATCAGATGTTCAGGGGCTGAATCGATCACAGAGGGAGGGCGTAACATACGGAAATGAGGTTCTTGTTCATGATGCTTAGACGACCGGCGTCAGTCGTGAGCCAACGGTCCGGGTTGAAAGCGTGGGCGTCTGGGCCGAAGATGGCCGTGTTGCGGTGATAGACCCAGGGATTGATGCCCACCAGTGTCTTTGTGCTGTCAGTACCTCGGAGCGGGCTCAATGACAGGAATCTCTGACGTACACCCTCAGGAAAGAAATGGCCCTCAATCTCCACGCCGCCTGTCGGGACGACTCTTTCCATCGGAAGCGCGACAGCCGTGTGAAGCCGCAGCGCCTCCTTGATGACGGCTTGAAGATAGGTCATCTTCTGCGTCTGGGCCCACGAAATATGCCTCGCCTGACCTGACACCTGGTCAGCCTCGGCCCTCAACCGAGCGAACGTGCCCGGCGCCTTCAGCAGATGGTAGAGAATCCCCGACAGACTCGTCGCCGTCGTGTCGGAGCCCGCGACAATGTTGGAGGCGCACCCGGCGAGGACGTGGTACATGGTGAAGCGCGCCGGGTCTCCGGCGTGCTTCTGGAAGAACTTGGACAAGAAGTCCATCGGGGCCCTCGCCGCCTCGGCCTGTTCGGTCGAGGCGGCTGCTGGCCGGCTCTGGTGCTCGGCTATGCACTCCTTGGTGAAATTCATGAGGTACGTGCGCCCGGTGCCTTGACTGCCTGCCATGCGGTTGCGGATGGGAAAGAGAAGCTTGTGGAGAGAATGAAAGACGCCCGTGAGTGTGAAATAGACCATCTCCTTGTCGATTGTGCGGATCAAGCCGCCCACATCGTCGCCGCGGTCGAGGAAACCGAACCGACGGCTGTAGGTGATGAGGCCGATCACGTCAAATGCAAAGCACTGGAACCAGTGGCCCATGTCAGGAGGGGACAGATGCTCCTCACTGCTGGATTCAGCAGCCTCTCCGAGCTCGGTGAGTCGCAGGGCAAAGAGGTCGGCGCACTCGTCGACGTAGGCTTCGTAGGTGACGAGGGAGGACATGGAGTACGCGCTCTGGAAAAGGCGACGGTGAGCTGCGTGACGCTGTATGTCTTCGTCGGCAAAGAGCGTCCATTTCGAGGGATCCGGCGGCGCTGCTGGTCTGTACGACGGGGACTTGGGAAAGAGAGAGGCTGCGGCCGGACCGTAGATTGCCTTCAGAGCAGAGGCGCTGGCGAAAGTATACCGATTTGGACCGAGTCGGACCACGGGACCTCGCGTGCGTTAGCAGGGGAAAAGTTTGGAGAGGATGAGGGTTACCATGTGTCTCATGCAACTCAAGTGCATCAGTCTCGAAGTGGCCACGATACAACCTTGTGATATACCAGAGATTGGTGAACCGGGCAACAAAAGGGCCTGGGATCGACCTCAAGGGCGAAACCAGAGCGAGGCAGATGGAGTAACAAAGGAAAAGCGGCAGCAACGAGGCAGCCAAAAGGAACCAGTGCTCCTGGGCAGTGCTGATGATACCAGTACGATACATGGCGACTTTTTGGTGTTGACCTTCGATATCACCCTATGGAAGTAACCCTCACGAGGATGGACAATTATGCGTCCAGTCAACTGGACGTGAGTAGCCAACTACCACTGCACACTCAGATGAGGGCTTTTCTGCCTGTGGCTATTGACCTTCAGCGTCGTCTCGGCAATATAGCGGCAGAAGCGCCGCTGGTCTCCGACTTGCCCCGTTTACCGTGAACCGGGCCGGAGTGGACAGGACACATGGCCCGCTCTCTCCCGCTTCCGCTCCCGCTCTTAGGTGTCCGACCTGGGACAAGTTGCATTTACACAATAAGGTTCAACTGATCGTCGACTGGAACACTCCTTGTCCAACAGAAGGTACAATGCCGATCGATCGGCGCTAGAACAGAGCAAGCTGAACTGATACGCTAACTAGGCCGGGAGGCTTCTCTCCGCCAGGTAATGACACCACATGTACGACCTCGCGTCATCCACCAACCCCAGGTTCCCGAACGCGGGGTGCAGGACATTTTCTCTCCGCGATAGCCTGCAGCGGCTGTACAGCAAAAAAAAGGCGACGAAGACGGGAGGAACAACCCCGCGCGGGAATGTGAAGCGGGGAAGCCAATGCTGCGAGGAGGATGAGGACAGCAAAGCACGGAGAGAGGAGACTAGCAGGCGTGCCAGTGGGCAGCATCTTGATGGCTTGGCGACAGCTGCATGTACCATGAGGTCAACGTGGGCGGCACAAGCACGTGGAAATTGGCCTTTGATGGCCTTGATCTTGACTCGAATCACAATGTCGGCCCTTGGACAGTTAGCGTGCTGATGAAGGCATCGTGAAGAGGGGGGTGTGGAGGGCAAAGCCGAATCCCATCACTCCAGCGTCTCAGTGGATGGGCAAGGTGATGGAGGTGCAGCGTGCCAAACACTTTGGCATATGACGTCGTCACAAACGAGGGGCTGGGGGTTGGGAGGTGGTCCCGGGGGCCCCCACCCACACCACTATGCTGAAGACGCCTTATCAGTTGCGGACGGCCAGCGCCTTGGGACCCAGCACAGCGGCACGTTCCAGTGGTTGATAGCGCTGTGCTGCTGATGAGAGACACGACCAGCGTCACCGTTTGCCTGGTGGAAGTACATAGGCAGGTACCTGGCTCTAGGTACCCCACCCGCGCGCCATGTGTGTTGCATGTGAGACCATCATCAGACTGGCCACCACAGTATCACAAGAGGATAGAAGAGCAAGAACAAGCCATTCTGAGTGTTAAAGACATTTTAATGAAAATCCGAATTACGAGCAGAAGATCCGGATCTAGTCACCGCACTCGGCATGGCTAGGTGAGTGCGTGCCTGACATACCAGCACGTCTGCCCAAGGAACGCCCAAAAGACGACTGCCCTGTGAAGTACCGCAACCGGCACCCCACCAATGTACCTCGACCTGTCAGGCACCCAGACAGCGCTGAGAGGCCACCCCCGGATCTCCGACTTGGTGACCTGCCTGACTGAAGTCCTCGTCGGTTTGGTCCACGAGCTCGAGGCTCTCCGTCATCAAGGTATCACCCCCCACAAGTCTCACCACTCTTTCTCTTGACTCCGATTTCTTCTTTCTCCCTACCTCACCCCAAGACTGTGATCATTTCATCCACCCACGCGCCTGTTCACACTCGTCCAGCCCACGCGACAAGAATAGCCCCACGACTTGGTCAGACCACAACCACCCCGCTGTGCTTGCTTCGCTTTTGGTACCCCGCCGTCAACTTCCTCCGCGCACCACACCCAGCCAAACACCTTCTCTGCAGCTTTCTCGCCAACGACCCAACACCCAGAGTCGCTTCTCTTCATATCCATCCATCGCCCGCCCGCCCGCAACACACATCAGCCAACATGGCCGCTATTGTCGATCACAGCCCCCAGTCTCACTCCCCGCCTGGCCCCAACATTGTGCGGCCCAGAGGTAAACTTAGCTGCCACATCTTGACTATCACATCGCACGAGAAAGCTAACGCGGCCGGGCGCCCAGGCATTCTGAAGAACAGCTTCCAGAATTCTCCCCCCACCTCTCCGACTCCCGAGCAAACCGACAAAGAGGTTACCATCGCGAACACGCAGTTCAACGCTGGCCACCGCCGCTCCTCCTCGGCCGCACGCCTCGGCGGCGGCTCCAGGCGATCTTCAAGCCACGCTGTCTCCGTCTCCGGCGGTGACGAGCAGGAGGACCCCTCACAGGACTCCCAGCGCCTCAGGTGGGACGAGGCCAATCTCTACCTCACCGAGCAGGAGCGCTCATCGACCATGAAGATCACGGAACCCAAGACACCCTATGCCAAGCACTACGACCCCTCCGAGGACCCCTCGGAAGAAGACGAGATCATGGAAGGTGCTGGTCCTGGTCTCGACGCTGCGTCTGGCTCTGTTCGCCGCAAGACTCACCGTCGTCCTGCCGGCGAAGATGACATTCCGGACATGTCGCTGGGCGAGCCGGAGGAGGCGGTCCCGGAAAGCGAGTCGAGCAAAGAAAAACAGCTCAAGGTTCACGTGGACGAGAACAGCGACAGCGGCGGCCACGGAGAAGACGAGCTGGCGGGTCTCTCGCCCGAAGAGAGGGAGAAGCACCGCCGCTTCGAGGCTCTGCGGAAGAAGCACTACGAAATGAAGAATGTCGCCCACTTGCTGGGCCACCCCGAGGAGACTATCGAGGACGACGAGGAGGTCCCCTCGCTGCCCCGCCAGGATCACGCCATGAATGGCCAGGCATGATGAGTCGCTCTTGGCAATGCGATAGGAGCTCGAGAGGAAAGCATGGACCAGAATGATCCTTTTCTTTTTGTTAGTGAGGCACCTCGAGAAATGATACCGGCAACGGCACTTGCACCTGCACAGAAATCCCTGGAGTTGGACGGAAGGGACGGGAGGAAGGGGTTGACTTGACGGCGTTTTTTTCTATTTCTTCATCGGTCATTGTCTTCCATGATCTGGCCTGTCCGGCCGTGTTTACACCCTCGCGCACTATCCGGTATCCTAACCCGCCCTCTGCTTCGGCAGACCGGGCATCGGATGTCTATTGGGGGTCTGCCTCGCCATCTCCCACAGCCAGCTTTCCCTTGGAGTAGATCGATATTCCCAGTTGTTGATCCTGCGCCGCAAATTCGTCATTCGTTGTCCAGATGTATTTCCATGTTGCTTCGCTTCATTCTATATCCAACTCTATTGCGGCCCTTTACAACAGGCCCTTCCGCGCCAGCTCGACCTTCCGTGCCGCCTCGTTGGCCGCAAACCCGCCCTTCGAGACGCAAATGCGCTGGCCGTCGGAAAGCTCGAACTTGTCCTCGTTCATCGGCCAGGGACACGGGCAGTGGTGGGGGTAGTGTACGCAGGCGAGAGTATCGGGACACAGATAGTGTTCGCAGTAGGCTGGACATGTCAGTCATTCATGGCGTGTTTCCTATGACGAAATGGCATTCTCTTACATCGGTCGTACTGCTGGCGGTATGCTGCTGAGTCGCTGGGAACGTTCTGTGGCCTTTGCTGTTGGCCTTGTTGCTGGCCGCCGAACATTTGCTCGAAAAAGCCGAATTGCGCAGAGACGGTGCTAACTAGTGCAAGAAGCACAACTGAGAGAGAAGTGAAGGCACGCATCGTTAGAGCTTGGCATGTACAGGCGCAAGATGGCAAGTAATTGAGACTTGATCAAGTGAGCGCCGCGCGTGGTGGGAGTGGTCTCCAACTGTCCAAGTGGCAGCTGTCCAGTTCCTGGTGGAGCCCATTGAGCCTTATCGCTATCGACGCTTCATGACTAAGCCGAAAATCTCCATCGCCCGACACGTTCGATTGAAGCTCGATCCCTGAGACGAGACGTCAACCTCAGCCTACTGACAGCACGAGTATCACCACAAATTGGGGTAGCGTCGCATCCTCGAAGCAGCGATGCGTCTATTCCAGTTGCAGCTGCCCATACGGGCGGTGACCGCGAGTCTCCTCCGACCGACCCTGTCGCTCGCAGCCGATGCGGCCCCCCGGATTCAAATCGATGCCAGCAATGCCCTCGTGGCCGGCCGACGATACGCCTCCGTCAAAGCGCAGGGTCAATACAAGCTGAAGCCGCGAAAGACGATCCCGAAGAAGCTGGGAGCGAAGCGTACAGGCGGTAGGTCTCCAATGGCCGGTCAATCGCTTTCATCGGTCCTCTAACGCGTCTTTCCCCCCCTTTAGACCAATATGTCATCCCCGGCAACATCCTCTACAAGCAGCGCGGCACAATCTGGTGGCCAGGCGAGAACTGCATCATGGGTCGCGACCACACGATCCACGCCATGGCGACGGGCTACGTCAAGTACTACCGCGATCCCGCGCGCCACCCCGACAGGAAATACATTGGCGTCGTCTACAACAAGGAGGACACGCTCCCGTACCCGCAGAACGCCGAGCGCAAGCGTCGTCTTAATATGACGGCCCACACCATTGTGCCGCGCGCCATCGAGCCTGAGATTTCCGCCTCGGGTATCCCCACGCAGGTTGTGAGGCCCGGCGCTGTGGGCCCCGACGGCAAGCCCCGCGGCCCCGCGAGAATGCTGCGCCTGCGCGACGACTACAGCTACCGGGAGGACAACTGGCGGGTTGGCCGGCTGGTGAAGCTGGCGGGTGTGACGAAGAGGGGAGGCGGTCGCGGTGGGCGCAACAGCCGCAAGGCGAGGTTCCGCTCGAGGCGATGGGTCAAGGAGAGGATGGCGCTGGGCAGGCGGAAGAGGGCCGAAGCCATGGAGGGCATGGAGGAGGACGAATGGACCATGTTGGCTCAGCAGAGGGCGATCGAGGAGAAGAAGAAGAAGGCCAAGGGCCAGCAGGACGCCAAGAGGGCTAAGGCTGAGAAGGCCGCCAAACTCAGAGCGGCGGGCATGCGCAAGTCGGCGGCCAAGAAGAACTAGACACGGATAGTCGGTGTTGGGAGTGTACGGATAGATGTCTGTATTGTATCATATTGTTGCATAAGATCATAAGACTTGTGTTCATACTGCCTTGGGTGCTTGGAGAGGTTTTATGTTCGAGCTACTAGCTCTGGTCTAAGCAGTATTGTCAGACGTAGTGGTTCTCAATTCACAAGGAAAGGTGCGGAGAGGTTCAATTCACAAGGAAAGGTGCGGAGAGGTTCAATTCACAAGGACATGAAGCGGAGCCGTTTACCCAGAACTTCTCAGTCTCCGCAGTCTCCAAGGTTCAATGGAGGTGGAAATGCTGAACTCTATCGCGACCTGCACCGAGAAGCACGGGCCAAAACACACGTAGTTGCTTCATCCGTGTCCAATCTATCACTTCTACACCATGACAACCCTCCATTTATCCCCGGACCACACTGAAGCTACCTCACGAGTCTAGCCATCCCTTTTCAAATTTCTTGCATTAGCTCTCGGTGTTCATCGTGGTAATTTTCCAGTGCACGGCTGTGTTCAGCTTGACTCTCCCACGGCAGGGACGCGCCCTTACGCGACTTGGTGCGTGCGCGCCATAGGTACTCATTTGACGTGAGGCTCAAGTCAACGTATCTTCATAAAATGACCAGCGTGTCTCTCTGACACCATAATAAGGTCTGTGACACGATTCAAACGAGGGACTCTTGGCGAAGTCACAAGGTTTCGCCGCCCGCTATGATGGACAGCCTCAAAGCACCGAACTTCATCCCTCCATGGGCAACGTCCTTGTTAGGGGGAAACCGGAAGGAAGGCGCCTTTCCTTCAAAGGAAGCAGTGTCTCATAACGACAATGTCCGGACAGATGGTGCTGGGTTAAATCCCAAGCTCTCCGAAAAGCAGTGTGTCAGGACTGCCAGCGTCTACCCGGTGAATTCTTCGGAAGCCCCGAATGACACTGATGGCTCTGACGAGGTCGACGACAACGACGACGAGGACGACGACGACGAAGACGACGAAGACGACGACGACGACGGCAATGACGAGGACGAGGACGAGGACAACGACGACGGACCCCGTAATCTGCCACGGTCCTCGAGTCTTGAGACAGCACATACAGACAGCGACGCGGCCCTTCCCCAAAGCGGGTCGGCCCCTGCTGGGGGAGAGCAGCCATCTTTTCAGAGTGAGAACAGGCCAGCAAGAGCCGAGTTAAGCACGGGCTACGGGTCGCCAAAGCCGAAGCACTCTGTAAGCTCTCGAATGAAGGAGCTTCAAGAACTGTGGGAACGAGACGTTCGAGACCAAAAAGCCTCTGCATCTGAAGTGGAGTGGCTGAACGGGGGATTGCCATCATCTTCAGGCACCAAGAGCAACACAGGCGCTCAGGCGCCTCGTCTTGATAGGAACCACAGTGGCGACGCCGACACAGGTATGTACCATGCAGTATGATTTAGTTGATTGATACTGACGCAAGTAGCTGCGTCGTCCTCGAAGCGCAAACGCTCGCTGTCTGGTGCAGAAGCCAGCTTTACAGGCTACAGAGATGGCCAAGCTGAGATTATGCATGGCAGTGACAACACCCGCTCCATGAATTTCACACAAACATCGCATTCACCGGAAACCTCCGGAACCTCTCGAGTAGAAAACTCCAAGGGGACCGGGGCTATTCACACCCCGGCATCCGCTACATCGCACCAAACTATCGAGATGACCGAACGGGGCCCTTCAGGCTCTGGTTCACGGCCTTATATCATCAAGATCGATAGGAAAAGACCACGGGCCACATCGTCGGAAGGGAACTCGAGTGACTACAAACAGAAAACGAAAGACTTCCGCGACCGTAGTCATTCGATGGAAGAAGAAACAGCCTTCGACGAAACGACACAGTTTGAGCATTCTGCTTTCGAGCACGACACCGTGGACCAGGACCCCCGTATCGGTGGCCCCGCAAAGAACATGACCCAAACCGCAGCAGGAAGACCGTACACTGAATGGCCTCAGCCCGACGGTACCACCCGCATCCACAACGGCGGTATATGTCCCACCAACTACCAACTCTGGAACGACCCAGTATTCCCCTACGTTTGTCCTGTTCGGAACTGCAGGTCGCTCAGTGCCACCGTCAGCACAATTTGCGCACACATGACAGGGAAGCACTGGGGAGGCATGTATAACGATAATGGGGATGGAACCATTTCCTTCATCGACGTATATCGTAATAAGGGGACATCATCACCACCGATTATTATCACTAGAAACCCACTCCGACCAGGGGCTCCACCCCCTGCAAACCCCTTCGTGAACGAACGGACAAGAAAGCGCACAGAGGAGCAGATGCAGCTGAGAAAAGACGCAGCAAGTTCGCTTGAAAGGTCTTTGGCTAGTATCCGCCAAATGTCGACGCCAAAATCGATGTCTACACTGGTCGAAAGCAACCTGAGAAACATGGCAGCAACGAGGGCCCAAGACAGAGGCGGCGAATTCATTACAGATGGTTCATTGAAGAACGAGGCGCTTTATGGCTATCTCAAAAGAATCTTGCCGCCCGGCACCCTGATTCATAGGAAGCAGCACGTTGCCGAATACATGCAGTACCCAATGTTGCGCAAAGTCCCCCCTTGGTGGGTCATCACGACCAAGAATGCCGAATCTTCCGCGACTGTTGCTAGCACGCTGCTTTACCTGACTGGCCGTCTCGCCCCTGAAAGCTGTTCGGCGTGCGTTGAAGCAGGATACGATTGCGTCCTACCGCCTGTCAACGCATCCGCCGCTTTGAAGCAGGATGCCAGAGGCTGTGGTGCGTGCTGGGGACGATCAATGATCTGGCATCAGCGTAACGCGTGCTTGTACCGGACGAAGAAAGGTGACAATTCCCTGCTTGCAGGGGCCGCCCGAAACGAAGCCAGCCCGATTCTCGGCGAATATGCAGCTGGAAGCCGACGGTCTACATCACGGCTCGCGGCAGAGTCGGATCCAGAGTCGCAGCCAGAGCAGGAGCAGGAGCTAGAGCTAGAGTCCGAGGTTGAGATACTGGATGGACCGCCGTCCGCTGCTCCGACCACGAAGGCGGACTCCTCACGGAAAATGCAAAGGCACGGCCCAATGCGAAGAAATCGGTCAGCACATGACGAGGATGTGGGCAGCGGCAGCAGCGCGGCTGAAGACGACCTTGAGATGGAAGACTGGGAGGTGGCACCGGGCCGGATCCGTGATGAGTGGGCATCAGCTGCAGAAAGTGAGTACTCACTATATGGTCGATATCGTCGAGGAGACCTAACTGTGACAGACATTGCTTTCTCCAATTCGTATCTGACCACCAACCAACCCATCTCCATCTCGCCCGACGTCAGCTTTAACGTGGTGGCCGTCAAGCCCGGTTGCACGACACAGTGGGAAGCCATAGAAGGACGGCTACGTGTTTGCTCTGTGGCGACGGGCAAAGTGAAGGTACAAATGGATGGTGCGGAGTTTCAGTTGGGGCCAAACAGCATGTGGAAGATCCGGCCAGGGTCCAAGTGCTTGGCTACGAATCGGCTGTACACTGATGCAGCCCTACACATTACAACGATCACAGAGGCGTGATAAAGAAGGGTATGGGTAACCTGGGGAAGCGGGGGGTGGCACAGAAGGCGAGCGCCTTTGGTATTCAGACTAGGTCGTGGCTATCGGCAGCAGTAATTATGGGATTCGTGCCGCCAAAGCTTGGATTGCCATGCTATATCTACGCAGAAACGGAAAGAAAGAATTTCACAATACATCGTGAACTGGCAGGCAGCTCAGTTCTTGAAATCGCCATTGGACAGATGCTCCTCCAGGTCGTAGTACACTTGAAATTCGCAGTAACAGTATTCAGGGTCCGCCTCAACGTCGCGGTTAAATTCGGCCTCTTCGTCGGTGATGAGGACCTTGGGGATGCCATGGACGCCCTCGGCGAGCAGCTGGACCTGACAGCTGCGCTCCATGCTGGTGAAGAGGAAGGCGGCCTCGTCGACGGTGTGGCCGACGGTCAGCAGACCGTGGTTACGCAAGATGGCGCCCCTGCCGCGGGGGCCGAGGGCGGCGGCGATGCGGTGGCCCTCTTCGGCGCCGAGCACAACACCACCGTAGGAATTGTAGACGGCCTGGGCGTCGCCGTAGAACTTGCAGGCGTCCTGCGTGATCATGTCGAGGCGGCGGCCAAAGACGGACCAGGCCTTGCCGTGGATGCTGTGGGCGTGGCAGACGGCGTGGACATCGGGTCGGGCCTGGTGGACGGCCGAATGAATGAGAAAGCCGGCCTTGTTCGGGGGTCGTGTGCGGTTACCCCCGATAACGGCGCCGTCGAAATCGACGAGAATCATGTCGGAGGCCTTGAGGAGGCCGAAGTGGACGCCGAGTGGGTTGGTCCAGAAGGCCGAGGGATTTTCTGGGTCGCGTACCGATATGTGGCCGCTGAAGCCCTCGACGTAGTTGGAACGAGACCAGTGGCGGAAGGCGGCGGCTAGATGATTGAGAATCCATTCACGGTGGGCGGCGAAACTGGGGTGGACGGGGATGCCGGGCAGAGGGACGGAGCCATGGGAGATGGCCTCGAGGGGCGTCTGGTGGGCGAGCTCATGACCGTGAGAGGACTGTGCCGTCTTGGAGGCGGAGTTGAACTCAGACTGCACAGCTGGCGTTTGGGTAGCGGAGGGAGCCATGTTGTTGTTGCTGGGATGGGCAGTGCAAGCTTGTAGCAAGTTGGGTGAGATGATCTGGATCTGGATCTGGAGCACTCGGTATGACCACATTGATGGTGAGAGAGGAAGACTGGAGTCGACTTTCGGATCGAGTGGCTTGATGCTTCGTCCACACACTGGATATTCACAGAAGGCGCCTTATGAGACTGTGTGGTCGAAGGGCGCGGATAACAGGCGGAGGGAAAGCCCGGCCCGGGGCTGCGGGGGTTGACCGGAGTGGCAGGGGTCACCGTGCCCGGGATTCCCCACTGTCTGCTTGGGATGTTGTGCCAGAGCACCTCCTCACAGGCTCTGCTTCATGCAGTGAGGCGCACATTTCAGAAGTCATCAGACCCCCAGAATGGATCGTCATGAAGCTGCAAGGGAAAAAAAAAACAGTCTCTGACCTCTCTTTGCGGGCATCTGTGTAGCCACCGGCGCGTGCCGACTACCTTGCTTTTCATGTTGGGCACACCGTGCGGACCCACGTCTCGCCCGGATAGCCCACTCTTGCCGCTTCACCCCGCAAATCATCACGATATCACGACATCTTGCTGGCTTAATCTCTGTTTGCCAATGCGTACACTGGAGCTGCTGAACTCTGAAATAGCGAACCAGATGGATCGACTGCGGGGGCAAGCACAAGAAGAGAAAGACCATATAGCTTCAATCAATCGCTCATCACCAGATTACTTTTGCATCCGTTGCGCGCACATCCATATCCATGGCCTTGGGAAGCTGATCCACCCTCTTGCGGTAATAGCCAATCGCAGAAGCGAACCTTTCGCCTCTGGAGCTGCATTACTCTTTCTCCGTCTCAGTCCAGATTTTCCCTACACCATCTCACAAAAAGGCGAACAATTTCCCACAGCCCATCTCAACCCGCCGCCTGCATCATCCGTGTTGAAACTCATCATGGACGACTTTCAGGCCCTGTCAGATCGCTATCTGCAGTGGTTCAAGGCCGCTGGCGGCGAGTTCCGCGATGACCTCCTGCAGATCGTCGACCTGAGGCCGCAGGCCGCCGGTCGCGGCATCAGTGAGACCCCACTGGCTCACCCTCGCCTTCTGAACATGTTCATACTGACATGAAGACAGTCGCTACGCGTGATATCCCTGAAGAGACAATCCTCTTCACAATACCCCGTCAGGCCATTATCAACGTCCTGACGTCGGAGCTTCCCCAGAAGCTGCCTCAAGTCTTCGATGGCTCCATCGATGAGATGGACGACAACGCCGAGCCCTTGGATTCTTGGGGTCAGCTGATCCTCGTCATGCTGTACGAAGTTCTCCAGGGGGACGCTTCGCGATGGAAGCCCTACTTCGACATTTTGCCGCAGCAGTTCGACACGCCCATCTTCTGGTCCGACGGCGAGCTCCTCGAGCTCCAAGGTACCTCTCTGACGGCGGAGAAGATTGGCAAGGTCGAGAGCGACGCCATGTTCCGCTCCAAGATCCTGCCCATCGTGCAGGCGAACCCCGCCATCTTCTATCCCGAGGGCGCCGCCCAGCCCACGGAGGATGAGCTCCTGCACCTGGCGCATCGCATGGGCAGCACCATCATGGCGTATGCTTTCGATCTTGAGAATGACGACGAGAATGAGAACGAAGAGGACGGCTGGGTTGAGGATCGAGAGGGCAGGACGATGCTGGGCATGGTGCCCATGGCGGATACCCTGAATGCGAACGCCGAGTTTAATGTTCGTACTTGCCACCACTTCACGCTCCACTTTCGCTTGTGCACCAGAGACTGATCATGACATTTCAGGCGCACATCAACCACGGAGAAAGCCTCGAAGCAACAGCCATTCGCGCCGACATCAAGGCTGGTGACCAAATTCTCAACTACTACGGGCCCCTGCCGACATCGGAGCTCTTGAGGCGGTATGGCTATGTCACGCCGGAGCACAGTCGTTACGACGTTGTCGAGGTGCCGTGGACACTCGTCAAGGAGGTCATCGTCTCCAGCCTCAGTCTCTCTGCCGAAGCTTGGAAACAAGTTGTAAGTCTGACCGGCCCTCCCTCACGCCACAAAACTCAACTTAACCGTGCGTACAGGAGAGCCAGATTGACGACGAGGAAATCGAAGACTATTTTGTCATAGAGCGCGACTCGGGCGAGCCCGGCCCCGACGGCCGCTTTACAGCCCCTGCCGTCCTGCGCGAAGTCTCGCCCGAGCTCGTCGAGCAGCTCAAGGAGTTCCTGAAGGCCGTGAAGAAACTCGACAGCGAGCGCATCCCCGACAAGCGCAAGCGCGACGAGATTTGCGACGCCGTCATCGCCGAGGTACTCAAGGTGCGGCTCGCGCAGTACCCGACCTCCATCGAGACGGACGAGAAGCTGCTGGCCGAGGCGGACCTCCCCGCCCGCCGGCGGATGGCTGTGGTGGTGAGACTCGGTGAGAAGAAGCTCCTGCTCGAGGCCATTGCGCTCGCGCACGCGAAGGCGCAGGGCTCGGCTACGGGGGACGATGGGGATGAGAGAGCGTCAAAGAAGGCGAGGGTGTGAACGGACGTGTTAGATCTGGACGATATACATTCAACAAGGGCTCGTAATAGCTTCAACGGCTGCGACAACATGGATATTTCGGGAGAGCTGGCGTAGTCTTTGGGAAGGATACACTGTACTAGCGCGACAAAAGATAGAGAGTGATGGAAGGATTGACTGCCAGAAGCACCACGCCAATTTTGTGGCAAAGAGTGCCAGGCATCTGGCTTTGCGATTGCGCGCAAGATCGGGGCATCGAGTAGAGAGGCGTTGTAACCCCAGCGAGGCGATGCATCATGGACTCGTATGGACGGCTGAGGGGTACGAAGCAGCACCAATTCAACTTGGACCGACTGGCTCGCTCATTCCGAGCACCACCTTTTTGGAGGCCTCGCGCAGCGCAAGCCCAGCGAGACGTTGTGTTCCTTTCCCGATCGAAACCTCGTAGCTTTTCGAGGGCATGTACGGTGCAGCGCGCCTCACGCCGCCTTGCGGGTCTCATGCTGTTGAAGTGCCAAACCCATCATCTCGTAGATTGATAAAAGATTGAGGAGCTCCCTGAGAGCGTCTCACAACATGCATTTCGCGACGGCCTCTCGTACTCCATATCTAGTTCCATTCGTCAGCCTTGACGAGCTCAAGCATGGCAAATGCGCAGGGACGTATGGGGCAAAAGGTGAAAATCGTTTTATCCGTTGCACCTTGCGACTTGCTATGTTCTATGCCACATCATCGCCTTTCGTCAACAGCTCGCGGCGACCTTGTGGTGCGCCCGCTGCTCCTCGCCCTTCTCCTGCACTATGCCGCGAATTTCCCTCCCGGCTAGGAGCCCACTCGTGCCAGGTGGCGGCTGCAGACACGGCCGGCCTTTGTCGACGTTGCCGCCCTCACTACGAGGATCGTTGTGCAGAGCAGGCCATAAGCTGACCCTCGATTTGATGCATCTTTTCCCTTTACTCCTCGTTCAGACCACGTCTGGTAGCCTGACAGCGATGTCTCCTGACTGTGTGATATACCTGACCCAGGGTAAGGAGGGGTATTGCAACTAAAGGCTTGTCAGACGTGGTGCGTTCAGCTTGATTCCGGGTAAAATACCTTGGGTTCTGTGATCTTCAGGTAGCGCACCTGGATGCCACTTGTCGTGAAGTAAGGGATCTCAAACTTGACCTGGATGGGCCGCTTCGCACCCTTGCCAGGCGCACCAACGCCACCCATGCTGCCGCCGAAGCCGCCCGTCATACCACCACCATGCTCGTCATCACCTCGGACAGAGGGCAGACCCAGCTCAGCGCGCATCAGAAACTCCTTGCCACCTCCGAACTGCTTGATCTTCCACACGATTGCGCTCTGCTCGGGGGCGTAGTGAACAGCGCCAATATTCGTCCTGAAGCGCGGTGTGTCGGCGTCGTCTGGCACGGGAACGATAATCTCAACGTTGTTGGCGGTGCTGCGGCGCTTGAACTGAGCCTTGGCCTTGAGCATGTATTCGACACGAGACCCCGAATGAGACTCGACCAGGCACTCGACCCAGATCAGCGGCTTGACCTGCGTGTTCAGGCGGTAGCTCATGAGCTCGAACTCGCCGTCAGGAGGAATAAAGGAAATGGTGCGGTCGTTTTCAAAGCGCGAAAGCCGCACGCACTGGTGGAACTTGACATCTTCCATTTCGATGGCCTTGCCGCGGGTCGTGCGCCCTGTCGTTTCAAACATGACCTTGTCATTGAGACCGAGGCGCAACTCGGGCATACCGCTGAGGTAACACTTCATCTTGACAGCACCGAGAATTTCCGAACGCAGAACATTGCCGTTGGCGCCGACGAGCAGGTTGAGGGACTCGACAACATCAAGGAAGACCTCGTTCTTGCGGTAACGGATACCCTCTGATCGCCAAGACACGGCGTTCGTGACAGCGATTGGCGGTCGGGCTTGAATATCGAGCTTGTGCGACTCCTGGGTGATGTACTCTTGCAGAATCTTGGACTCGGTGGTTTGTGGGTAGCCAAAATCCATCATCTCGTCGAGCAGCTCGTAAATAACGACAAAGTTGTCGCGAATCGATTCCTCCTCGAGGGCCTTGAAGTACTCGGTAAAGACCTCGACGATCTTGTGTAGGAAGAGCAGAATTTCGGCGGCGTTTGTGTTTCGTTTCGTCAGGGCGAGGAGGTACAGGTTGTTGTGGCGGATGTAGAGATAGTTGATGCCCTCGTGGGAGAAGCAAGGAGGCACGGCGGAGGACTCTTCTTCGGCTTCGCTGAGCAGAACGGGGAACTGCTCGACGGCAGACATGGGAATGTCACCTCGGTAGTTCCTCGCCAGCAGGGTCTTGCCCTTGAGGTCGAGGAAGAAGACGGCAGACGCCATGGTGGTTTAGTTGTATCTCTCTGGAGGACAGTGTGTAAGGAGGGGTCGTTCTCGGTGGGCTTGCGATCAATTGGCGCGTGGGCCAGGCGTGAGAGAGGTATAAGATGTCCGAGACATGCACATATGGTCAGGCGGTGTATCGTTGTATTTCCCAAGCGTGTCGGAGGCACAGTGTCGGGGGCGAGCAAAGGGCGATGCGGGTGCTGCCTGGACAGCTATCCTTGAGGCCAGGAAGATGCTCTGGCTCTCAGGAGTAGCTTGCTCGTCGTGGATGCGGTGTCAGGACGCACAGACCAACCTTGTCACGCCAGCAGGCGGAGGCTTGATTTCTTGATAAGATAACCTCCAAAGCATCCTCAATAGCAAGGTCACATGATCGAGGTCCACTATGGGCCATCTCTCACTCATTGAAGAGAAAATTTCAGGACGGCCCTCGCGTGGCAGGTTCCTTCTTCTCTTCTCACCACCGCGCCCAATTTAGACAGTGCAGCTCAGCATTACCACAACCGGTGCCGGCATTCTGTCGGTACACCAGCCGTGAAGCAGTTGTTGAAGTTAGCGATGCTGAGGCGCGCAGAGGACGAAGCGCAAGCTCGGTGCCATAAGAGCTGCCCTTGCAGTCGTTTCACCTTCGGGTGGAAGCAGTTGCGTTGGCGGCGTCAGAGGCACCGGACATAGTTTTATTTAGCCGACAAAGGGACACAGTTGTGCGTGAGCATGTGGTCTCTCGGCAAAGGCGAGTGAATCGGATGAGATCTGGCCAGGGTAGGGTTCCCGAGGTGTTGGTCGACTCGGCCGAACATCTGTCGCGAAGGGTGGCATCAGTGTCGCCGTTGCATTGACCCGCGGCAGCTCTCACGAGCCTCGAACAGCCTCATCAGCTGTAACACGGGCGCAGGCCAACCTCGGGAAAAGTCGTGCATGCGTTCCTATGTGTCAACGACCCCCAAAGGCCCTCGCTTGTATTGCAGCCGACGGATGAGAAGCTTTCCGTTTTGGTGACCTGACGACAGTGACCGCAGTCGACGGCATCCACTTGGTCGGTCCAAACCATTCCCAGAATGTCGTCACATGAGCTCCTTCACAGGCCACCTCTTGCTTACTCGTCCGCCCACCCCATCCTAGCATGCTTGATCAGCGAAAAGGGACAGGCTGAATGGGTCTGGCGAGACAATCTGTCAGGTGTGATGGGTACAGAGGGAGGCATCGTCTCGCTGATCTTGACAGTATCTGCCCAATATTTTAGCTGGTAGGCATTGCAGACAGGCAATGGAACTTCCTAGTTGCCACCTTCACAAGCTTACTCGAATGGGGGTCTATGTGTGTTAGGTTTCCATCGTGCATCCGTTCGCCCTGTATCCCCTTTAGGCACATGCAGGTGGGGATGGGACGGGCGAATGTCCAAACAGGAAAGGGGCTGCAGGCAGCAAAAAAACAAAAACCGGTCGGCCATTCAAGAATCGCCTGTAGTAGCCTCTCAAGTCATCCATCGTGAAAGCGTCCGACCTTCCTCTTTGTTGGCGAGCCGAGTGTTGGCGCTCCCACAAGCCAAACGGAAAAGCACCGCTTCCAACCAGCGTCGGGTGTCGCTGGGGTGTGTGCCTGCAGCCGATTGCCGGCTGGGCGTCCCGTCGTGACCGTAATCTCGAGCTGACATCTGATGACGGTCGCTGCTGTTAAGGTATGCGGTGCACATGTGCTGGGGCACAGTAACGGCAAGTACACAGGTCTTGGCGTTAGAGATCGGCCGCTTCGCATGTGATGATGGCAACGCAAACCCAATTCTCTGACACGTGCTTCCCCAGCTTTTGCAGCCCTTTTCGCGCCAAGGCCCTCTCTTGTCCAGTCGCCCACTGTCGCTCCCTCGCTTTTCCCTTCCCTGTACCTGCTTGTGACTCGAGCCTAGGCCACTATCGGTGTTGATGCGCCAGCGGCTGACGAAAAGGAGGATGAAGGAGT